AATACGGCAGATTATAGTGGAATGTAGCAGATTATAGTAAAATTTAGTACATTATAGTGGAATGTAGCAGATTATAGTAACATTTAGTAAATTATGGTGGAATATAGTAGATTAAAGTGGAATATGATAGATTATAGTGGAATGTAGCCGATTATAGTAAAATTTAGTAAATTATGGTGGAATATAGTAGATTAAAGTGGAATGTAATAGATTATACTAGAATAAAATATCTAATAATAGTTAAATAATAAATATAACATAATAATACTTCTCGTCAAGACCACTCCAACTCCTGTTCCTCGGGATTTAGCTCGGCTGCAGCTCGGTCCAAACGCTGCTGCTAGATTGCTGACCGGCACCAGAAAGCGGGATTACGTCACTCCCCTCTTAGCCAATCTGCACTGGCTTCCAGAACCTTTCAGAGTTACTTGTTTTTGTTTTGAAGTCTCTGCAGGGCTGAGTTTTCTGTCTGCGTTACTCACCCCATACAAACCATCCTGTGCGCTTAGGTCATCACAGCAAGACTTACTAGCTATTCCAGAGTAAAATGCCTGACTAGAGGAGGCGGGGCTTCTCCGTTTGGGCCCCCAAGCTTCCACTCGTGGTCAGACAAGCGCCTTCACCGCCGGTTTTTAATGAAGGCTGACTTTTATTTAATGGCGTTCCATCAGCACATGAGCGAGCCACATTTCTGGATTATTTAGCAAATTTTCATCCAGTTATATTTGACTTATTTATTTAGTTTTTTACTAGCATTCTTTGCTCTTATCTCCTGCTTTTATTTGTTTTTATATCTATTTTCGTCAGTCATGATGTCAGCGATGTTTTTTAATGTGTGTACAGCACTTTGGTTCACCTCCTGGCAGTTAGACAGTGCTATAGACATTTATGATTATGCTGCCGATGATGATGATGATGATGATGATATAGTAGATTACAAAGGAATACAGTAGATTATAACAGAATATATTAGTTTATAGTAAATTATAGTGGAATATTGTAGATTATAGTAGAAGTTGTAGATTATAGTGGAATAAAGATAATAGAAGATGACAGTAAAATGTAGTAGATTATAATAAAATATACAGGTGCTGGCCAGTAAATTAGAATATCATCAAAAGGTTGAAGATATTTCAGTAATTCCATTCAAAACGTGAAACTTGTACATTATATTCATGCAATGCACACAGACCAATGTATTTCCAATGTTCATTACATTTAAATTTGATATTCATAAGTGACAACTAATGAAAACTCCAAATTTGGTATCTCAAAAAATTAGAATATTCTGAAAAGGCTGAATATAGAAGACACCTGCTGCCACTCTAATCAGCTGATTTACTCAAAACACCTGCAAAGGCCTTTAAAAGGTCCCTCAGTCTTGTTTTGAAGGCACCACAATCATGGGGAAGACTTCTGACTTAACAGCTGTCCAAAAGACAATCATTGACACCTTGCACAAGGAGGGCAAGACACAAAAGGTGATTGCTAAAGAAGCTGGCTGTTCGCAGAGCTCTGTGTCCAAGCACATTAACAGACAGGCGAAGGGACGGAAAAAATGTGGTAGAAAAAAGTGTACAAGCTCTAGGGATAACCGCACCCTGCAGAGAATTGTGACGACAAACCCATTCAAAAATGTGGGGGAGATCCACAAAGAGTGGACTGCAGCTGGAGTCAGCGCTTCAAGAACCACCACGAGGAGACTCATGAAAGACATGGGATTCAGGTGTCGCATTCCGTGTGTCAAGCCACTCTTGAACAAGAAACAGCGCAAGAAGCGTCTCGCCTGGGCCAAGGACAAAAAGGACTGGACTGATGCTGAGTGGTCCAAAGTTATGTTTTCTGATGAAAGCAAGTTCTGCATTTCCTTTGGAAATCAAGGACCCAGAGTCTGGAGGAAGAGCGGAGAAGCACAGAATCCACGTTGCATGAGGTCCAGTGTAAAGTTTCCACCGTCAGTGATGGTGTGGGGTGCCATGTCATCTGCCGGTGTTGGCCCACTCTGTTTCCTGAGGTCCAGGGTCAATGCAGCCGTCTACCAGGAAGTTTTAGAGCACTTCATGCTTCCTGCTGCTGACCAACTTTATGGGGATGCAGACTTCACCTTTCAACAGGACTTGGCACCTGCACACAGTGCCAAAACCACCAGCACCTGGTTCAAGGACCATGGTATCCCTGTCCTTGATTGGCCAGCAAACTCGCCTGACCTTAACCCCATAGAAAATCTATGGGGTATTGTGAAGCGGAGGATGCAATACGCTAGACCCAACAATGCAGAGGAGCTGAAGACGACTATCAGAGCAACCTGGGCTCTCATAACACCTGAGCAGTGCCACAGACTGATCGAGTCCATGCCACGCCGCATTACTGCAGTTATTGAGGCAAAAGGAGCCCCGACTAAGTATTGAGTGCTATACATGCACATTCTTTTCATGTTCATTCTTTTCAGTTGGCCAACATTAGAGAAACAAACATTTTTTCATTGGCCTTTAGAATATTCTAATTTTCTGAGATACCAGATTTGATGTTTTCATTGGTTGTCACCTATAAATATCAAATTTAAATGTAATGAACATTGGAAATACATTGGTCTGTGTGCATTGCATGAATATAATGTACAAGTTTCACGTTTTGAATGGAATTACTGAAATATTTTCAACATTTTGATGATATTCTAATTTACTGGCCAGCACCTGTAATAGATTATTGAGGAATATTGTAGATTATAATAGACTGCTGCAGCAGATCCCTTAAGTAAATATAGTAGAATATAGTACATTATACTAGGACAGAACTAGTAAATTATAGTAGAACATAATAGATTATAGTATATATTAGTGGAATATAGTAGATTATAGTAAATTATATTAGAACATAGTAGATTATAGTAAAATAAAGTAAAATTTAATAGATTATAGTTGGTTTTACCCAAAGAATACATAGCTCCACCCACTCTTGCCATCATGCCTTAGACCTTGTGCTGACTTGTGGCATAGAGTGTGAGGAAATAACGACATTTCTACATAATCCAGTCCTCTCGGGCCACTTTCTGATAACCTTTGAGTTTTTTGTAACTGAGTTCTCGAGACATGAAAGTAAATTTCACTGTAGTCGGTCTCTATCTGACAACGCTGTTGCATCTTTTAAATCAACTGTTTGCTATCTTCAGCATCTCAGAGGACCGTAGCAGAGGGCAATATTTTCATTTCTAGCCCCTCACAAATTAATGATTTAGTTCATAATGTTACTTCCTCTTTATGTGTGGCATTAGATGATGCTGCAGCAGGTCCCTTAATTAAATATATTATATTCAATTCAATTTTATTTTTATAGCACCAAATCACGACAAGAGTCGTCTCAAGGCACTTCACATAATAAACATTCCAGTTCAGGTCAGTTCATTAAGCCAATCAGAAATAATGTTTCCTAAATAAGGAACCCAGCAAACTGCATCAAGTCACTGACTTTTAAAATATAGTACATTATACTAGAACAGAACTAGTAAATTATAGTAGAGTATAATAGATTATAGTACATATAGGTGTAATATAGTAGATTATAGTAAATTATATTAGAACATAGTAGATTATAGTAAAATGAAGTCAATGTAATAGATTATAGTAGATTATAGCAGAATATAGTAGATAATAGTAAATTATAGAGGAATATAGTAGATTATAGTAGAAAATTGTAGATTATGGTGGAATATAATAGATTCAAGTATATGTTAGTAGAATATAGTAGATTATCGTAAATTATATTAGAACATAGTAGATTATAGAAAAATAAATTAAAATTTTATTGATTATAGTAGAATATAGTACATTATACTAGAACAGAACTAGTAAATTATAGTAGAACATAGTAGATTATAGAAAAATAAATAAAAATTTTATTGATTATAGTAGAATATAGTACATTATACTAGAACAGAACTAGTAAATTATAGTAGAACATAATAGATTAAAGTATGTATTAGTGGAATATAGTAGATTATAGTAAATTATATTAGAACATAGAAGATTATAGTAAAATAAAGTAAAATTTAATAGATTATAGTAGATTATAGCAGAATATAGTAGATAATAGTAAATTACATTAGAATATAGTAGATTATTGTAGAATACAGTAGATTATAGTGGAATTGCCAGGTGCAGCTTCCTGTCAGTGTTTACATCCAGGAAAAACAAGTTAATTGCCTTTTAGGTTTTCACAGAAAAGCCGACAGCTTGTTTGTGTTCGGCTTGTTTGCTTGAGCAGTTCTGGGGATGATTTTCAGGTCATACGTGTCAGCGGTGTGTGACGAGGGATGCTGCTGCAGCACGTGTAATCTGACCTGTGGGGATCATCAGGTGTCCGCTATCAGAGATCATAGCTTCACCCTTTGTTTACATCTGAGCTTCATGCTACAGCCTTCAACCTCCTCTTCCTCCTCCACTTCAAAAGAATGTGTCCAATGCACACTATGAAGTTCACGAGACCTGTAGCACACAACTACAGGTAGAACTGGAAAAATGAAAATATGGTGCAAATTTCATTTATGTCACTAATCCAACCTAAAAGGTGAAATGAATCGATGAGAAAGAGCCGTTCCATGCAAATCCAGATGTTTCAGCCTCTGTCTGTTATAATCGTGAGGATTATGGCTTGCAGCTGATTCACATTTAAGACCTCAGACAATTACAATATAAGGTTTATGGAGTCACAGAAGCTTTTGAATTCATCTGAAACTGCATTTTGCCAGTTCCAGTTGAACTCACCAGCCAGTCTGAGCTCAGTTATAATTTCATTTAGACGAGAGATGCTTTAAGGATGATAATGCCTCCTTGGAAGCTGATGGAGGCTGAACCCAGCCACAGTTTAGATGGTCTCTCAGTCTGAGCTGGATTACTGACATGAGTGGACCAGATTCTAGTTTTTCCAGTTTCACCTGTAAATGTATAAAAGTCTAAAATGTGTCAAGTAACTTCTATTTTATTCTCTTCCTTCTGCTCCTTCAGAAACATGGAGGCAGCAATCAAGACTATAGTGACGACATTCATTAATTCGTCCAGGGGGAAGGATAACCTCGACAGTAAATCCTTCCAGAAACTGGTGCAGAAGCAGTTCAGCGGCACCATGGAGGTGGGAAGGGTCGTCCTTCGTCAGCAGGTGAGCTTCTGCAGCTGAAACCATCCTGAGCATGTTTCCTGTCTGCTTCATCCAGGACACGGACAGCAGCTCGGCCATTAAGGAGATGCAGCGGGGACTGGATGAGAACAGTGATGGAAAAGTCAGCTTCGAGGAATACCTCTCTCTGATTGGCTACGTGGCGAATGCCATGAGTGAGAGGAAGTGTGGGTCCAACGCAGATGCATCGTAGAAGCGGCGGCGGCCATCATGGAGTCTTCAAATCAAAATACCCACTCTTTTTTTTTAACCTTCAAACATTCCAGCCTCAGTGTGTGCATGGGCCTTTACGTCAGTCCGTAATCATCGACCAGTGTCGAGTTCAGCCGTTTTCATGCAGTCATCTCCACTGAGAACGCATTAAAGAACTTTGAAGGGCCTTTTTTTTTATTCCAGCAACAAAAAGAATGTGTTTACAAAATAAAACCTACTTTGTTATCCACTTGTTTGGTGTTGTGTGGTGTCATTGCCAAATGGGCGTGTCTGTCCGAACGGATTAGCCGCTACAGCTAACTGACTTTAGCAAAACACTGAAATAAACCAGTTGTGTAAATATTGAGCTAAAGTTTGATGTCATGCTAGCTTAGAGTCGCACCTGAGCAGCACAACAGGTCTGACGAGGGCTGACACGAGTCATCGACCCTAGCCCAACCATCATGTTTTGAACGCCGCTTGATTGTGATTTGTGAGCGTGTTGCGCCCTAGCTTAGCATTAGCCAATCTGCCCGTAGTTTAACTCTTGATCCCAAACTTTGGAGCGTTTCTGCCTTTTACCGTGGTTTATGTCTTCAGATCACCACTGTACGAGTCAACCGTGTCTGTTAGCAAAACATCTCCTGACTTCTTGGATAAGTTTTAAAGGTGTGGGACACACACACACTTTTGCAGTGGTCTCTAGTAGGAATGAATCCCTTTTAGTATGGGGGAAAAAGCTCACATGCGCCTGTTTCACAGCTGAGCTTCAGACGGCAGGATCTGGAGTCTTAATTCCTGATATGTGGACATCTCTCCTCTGATTGGCTAACAGCAACATGACTACCACTGACTCTGTTTGCTCTGCAACGTTGATGTTTTATCTCCACAAATAACACAGGCCTGGAGGAGTTCTGCTGCGTGGTGGACTTGCTAATGCTAACGGTTAGCTTCTACTAGCTGAGACGTTCTCTGCTGTTTCCTGGACGCTAAACCAACAACAGCCTTCCCCGTCGTGAGTCCAGATGGGTGAGTCCATGAATGTTAGTGACAGTGTGACGTAGATCTGTCAGGATTTTCTATCCTAGAGTTTCACCGTCTGTTTTCTATCAGAAGCTAATGCAGGAGATAGGTGTAGGAGACTATCTTCATGTTCAGCCTGCATGAAACGCTCAGAGTGACACGTTAGAATCGATGTAGGGAGACTAAGTCGTCTCCCTTTCCGGTCGGCTCACGGGTCCCCAGAAGAACGAAAAAATGAATGCAAGTCAACGGGGCTAAAAACGTTATTTTCCAACCCGCTTTGCCTGACGCCCTGGATCACACAAACGTTGGAATTCTATTTAAATGAAAACTAACGATGGGTGTTTCGACCACGCCAGTCACGTACTTTGAGATGTATCAGTTTGTAAATGTTCGTAATTAGCATGACGACACACCAGAAATCTGCACATCGCATATGTGACGTCGCCGCATAATCTCCCCTCCCCTAGCGTAGCTGCTACTCACCACATGACCAGATTTATGGTGGTTCTTTCCTCCTGTGGGAAGATCGCTGAACTTACAGCCATTTTCTCTCAGTTTTCTCCGTGTCTGGTTTGATGACGTCACTTTTGTGAAGCGCATTTGTAGTCCCGGACTTATTAATTTCACACACAACCTAAAATAGTGTTTGCCCCTGTTCGAAAATAATCGCATTCTTGGTATAAAAATGTGTCTTTGAAATTTTAGGTGTGTTCTTGCTGCGTCGTGGTTCTAATTCCATGCTGTCGTTCTTTTTAAAACACAGAAACAGTTTTGTTGACCTGTTTTGTCGCTACGTTTCGCCGGCGGCAGAAGAGGTAAACAAAACTGTTTCTGTGTTTTACGGCGAAACGTAGCGACAAAACAGGTAAACAAAACTGTTTCTGTGTTTTACGGCGAAACGTAGCGACAGAAGAGGTAAACAAAACTGTTTCTGTGTTTTACGGCGAAACGTAGCGACAAAACAGGTAAACAAAACTATTTCTGTGTTTAACGGCGAAACGTAGCGACAACACAGGTAAACAAAACTGTTTCTGTGTTTAACGGCGAAACGTAGCGACAACACAGGTAAACAAAACTGTTTCTGTGTTTAACGGCGAAACGTAGCGACAGAAGAGGTAAACAAAACTGTTTCTGTGTTTAACGGCGAAACGTAGCGACAAAACAGGTAAACAAAACTATTTCTGTGATTAACGGCGAAACGTAGCGACAACACAGGTAAACAAAACTGTTTCTGTGTTCAACGGCGAAACGTAGCGACAACACAGGTAAACAAAACTGTTTCTGTGTTTAACGGCGAAACGTAGCGACAGAAGAGGTAAACAAAACTGTTTCTGTGTTTTACGGCGAAACGTAGCGACAAAACAGGTAAACAAAACTATTTCTGTGTTTAACGGCGAAACGTAGCGACAGAAGAGGTAAACAAAACTGTTTCTGTGTTTTACGGCGAAACGTAGCGACAAAACAGGTAAACAAAACTATTTCTGTGTTTAACGGCGAAACGTAGCGACAACACAGGTAAACAAAACTGTTTCTGTGTTTAACGGCGAAACGTAGCGACAACACAGGTAAACAAAACTGTTTCTGTGTTTAATGGCGAAACGTAGCGACAACACAGGTAAACAAAACTGTTTCTGTGTTTTACGGAGAAACGTGGCGACAAAACAGGTAAACAAAACGATTTCTGTGTTTAACGGCGAAACGTAGCGACAACACAGGTAAACAAAACTGTTTCTGTGTTTAACGGCGAAACGTAGCGACAACACAGGTAAACAAAACTGTTTCTGTGTTTTACGGCGAAACGTAGCGACAGAAGAGGTAAACAAAACTGTTTCTGTGTTTAACGGCTAAACGTAGCGACAACACAGGTAAACAAAACTGTTTCTGTGTTTTACGGCGAAACGTAGCGACAAAACAGGTAAACAAAACTATTTCTGTGTTTAACGGCGAAACGTAGCAACAGAAGAGGTAAACAAAACTGTTTCTGTGAATTACGGCGAAACGTAGCGACAAAACAGGTAAACAAAACTGTTTCTGTGTTTTACGGCGAAACGTAGCGACAAAACAGGTAAACAAAACTGTTTCTGTGTTTAGCGGCGAAACGTAGCGACAAAACAGGTAAACAAAACTGTTTCTGCGTTTGACGGCGAAACGTAGCGACAAAACAGTAAACAAAACTGTTTGTGCGTTTGACGGCGAAACGTAGCGACAAAACAGGTAAACAAAACTGTTTCTGCGTTTGACGGCGAAACGTAGCGACAAAACAGGTAAACAAAACTGTTTCTGCGTTTGACGGTGAAACGTAGCGAAAAAACAGGTAAACAAAACTGTTTCTGCGTTTGACGGCGAAACGTAGCGACAGAAGAGGTAAACAAAACTGTTTCTGCGTTTGACGGCGAAACGTAGCGACAGAAGAGGTAAACAAAACTGTTTCTGCGTTTTACGGTGAAACGTAGCGACAAAACAGGTAAACACAGCTGTTTGTGTTTTACGGCGAAACGTAGCGACAAAACAGGTAAACAAAACTGTTTGTGTTTTACGGCGAAACGTAGCGACAAAACAGGTAAACAAAACTGTTTCTGTGTTTTACGGCGAAACGTAGCGACAAAACAGGTAAACAAAACTGTTTGTGTTTTACGGCGAAACGTAGCGACAAAACAGGTAAACAAAACTGTTTCTGTGTTTTACGGCGAAACGTAGCGACAACACAGGTAAACAAAACTGTTTCTGTGTTTTACGGCGAAACGTAGCGACAGAAGAGGTAAACAAAACTGTTTCTGTGTTTTACGGAGAAACGTAGCGACAAAACAGGTAAACAAAACGATTTCTGTGTTTAACGGCGAAACGTAGCGACAACACAGGTAAACAAAACTGTTTCTGTGTTTAACGGCGAAACGTAGCGACAACACAGGTAAACAAAACTGTTTCTGTGTTTTACGGCGAAACGTAGCGACAGAAGAGGTAAACAAAACTGTTTCTGTGTTTAACGGCGAAACGTAGCGACAACACAGGTAAACAAAACTGTTTCTGTGTTTTACGGCGAAACGTAGCGACAGAAGAGGTAAACAAAACTGTTTCTGTGTTTTACGGCGAAACGTAGCGACAGAAGAGGTAAACAAAACTGTTTCTGTGTTTTACGGCGAAACGTAGCGACAAAACAGGTAAACAAAACTATTTCTGTGTTTAACGGCGAAACGTAGCGACAACACAGGTAAACAAAACTGTTTCTGTGTTTAACGGCGAAACGTAGCGACAACACAGGTAAACAAAACTGTTTCTGTGTTTAATGGCGAAACGTAGCGACAACACAGGTAAACAAAACTGTTTCTGTATTTTACGGCGAAACGTAGCGACAGAAGAGGTAAACAAAACTGTTTCTGTGTTTTACGGAGAAACGTAGCGACAAAACAGGTAAACGATTTCTGTGTTTAACGGCGAAACGTAGCGACAACACAGGTAAACAAAACTGTTTCTGTGTTTAACGGCGAAACGTAGCGACAACACAGGTAAACAAAACTGTTTCTGTGTTTTACGGCGAAACGTAGCGACAGAAGAGGTAAACAAAACTGTTTCTGTGTTTAACGGCTAAACGTAGCGACAACACAGGTAAACAAAACTGTTTCTGTGTTTTACGGCGAAACGTAGCGACAAAACAGGTAAACAAAACTATTTCTGTGTTTAACGGCGAAACGTAGCGACAGAAGAGGTAAACAAAACTGTTTCTGTGAATTACGGCGAAACGTAGCGACAAAACAGGTAAACAAAACTGTTTCTGTGTTTTACGGCGAAACGTAGCGACAAAACAGGTAAACAAAACTGTTTCTGTGTTTAGCGGCGAAACGTAGCGACAAAACAGGTAAACAAAACTGTTTCTGCGTTTGACGGCGAAACGTAGCGACAAAACAGTAAACAAAACTGTTTGTGCGTTTGACGGCGAAACGTAGCGACAAAACAGGTAAACAAAATTGTTTCTGCGTTTGACGGCGAAACGTAGCGACAAAACAGGTAAACAAAACTGTTTCTGCGTTTGACGGTGAAACGTAGCGAAAAAACAGGTAAACAAAACTGTTTCTGCGTTTGACGGCGAAACGTAGCGACAGAAGAGGTAAACAAAACTGTTTCTGCGTTTGACGGCGAAACGTAGCGACAGAAGAGGTAAACAAAACTGTTTCTGCGTTTTACGGTGAAACGTAGCGACAAAACAGGTAAACACAGCTGTTTGTGTTT